AGTGGTGTCGATAGCGATGGCCAACGCAGATACTTTGCACAATCGACCGTGCGACGTGACTCATGCGCCTACTACCTGGTATAGTAGTGGCCCGCTTACATAGCGATCGCCTCGTCTCGCGCTTTCCCTCAGAGTGCCTCGTGCGCAACCTACGATCGATCGCTCATCCTATTGTAAAGACATCGCGTGCGCCCGGAATCTAGCGTCCTGTGCACGCAGGCCTTCGTCCATAGTGTCCGCTCGTCAGCGAATCGCGCAGCCCGCCCGCCGGCTCTCCCTTGCTCCGCGTCCCACTCTGGCTGACGCCAGGTCCTCTCCATCCCTTCAGCCCTCGAGCGCGCAGCCCGCGTTCCCTCCGCCTCTCTGCGACGCCGGACGAGCTGAGGCGTCGGCCGTCTCCGACGCAGTGTTGTCGATACAACAACGATGCTCATTCGCAGCTAGACGTACATATTGACAATCGACCGTTCGGACGGTCATGACCATAGCGCCTGCCTAACATGCTAATGGCCCGCTACGCGCTTAGCGATTGCCTCGTCTCACGCTTTTCCTCACATTGTCTCGGTGCACTCTTGCCCGTGATCATCAGCACGCGCATAACGTACACGTACGCCATTACATACCTGGCCTCGGAAAACTACTGGCGAGCGGCAATGCGCACACCCACTGCGCGAGCGCACGTCTTGCACTCCTAACGAGGTACGTACCCCATGTTCTGCACAGTGACCGTGATCAGTGTGTGTACGACGTGCGACCGCCGCCTCACCTACCACGGATCCGACGCCTACCCCTCTCGACAGAGCTCCTGAACGGCGTCCTCAATGCCCAGACACCATCGCCAGCAGCCAGCCAATGGCGGCGAGGAAGAGCGGCGAGGAAGAGCAGCGAGAAAGAGTGGCGAGGAAGATAGCAGGCAACCATGCCGCTATCCCTCGCGCTCTCTCCTTTCTTATACGCCGACGACGACGCCTCTCTGCATCCCACGCCCGGACCACCTCCATCAACACCCGTGGCTCGCGGCCTAGCAACGCACAACGGGGATTCCGTGTCAGCCGCGTCTGATGCGTCCTCTCCCGCCCTGTGCCGCCCAACCGTTCCTCTGTGCGTGTTCCCTGCCCATCCCTCACCCCATTTCCTATCTCCCTCTGTGCTGCACACTCCCCCCGACGTCCCTGCGCCGCTGTACATGCCCCAGCCACACTACCCCCGTCTCCCGCTCCCGGTGCCTGTGCACCCCTTGCCTCATGCGCACGGGCGCCCCCCGGATGCGGATGCGACAGTTCGTCGCGATCTCACGTCTCCCGCGTCTCCCTCGCGACCCAGCGTCAGACACGCGGCGGGAGATACGCGGCGAGAGATACGCGGCGGGAGAATGGCCGCGCGTCGGCTTACCCCTCGCGCGGTCGCGTCCAGGATACCAGACGCGCTGCGCGCGTGACGCCGGCGCGACAGACAGCGCGGGCACATCGACCCATGGACGTGGCCGCCCTGCCTGCCCTGCGTGCGCGACCCGCGTCCTCCCCGGTCATCCGAGTGCGAGGGACATGCCGCAAGACGCACCGAGAGATTCGCCGCATCGCGGACCTCGCGGCGCGCTGCGCACATGTACGTGCGAGCCGCCGTTTCCATGGCGCGCGAGCAGAAGTGCCCTGGTAAATGCCTCTCGCCTGTTGCCATTTTTGCAGCCGCCCGTTGCGTGCCGTCTGCCGCTTCCCGATGCTGCGGACAGCATCGACGGCCCTACCGTGCGGCATCCAGCTGAGCGCGTGCGCACACACACCCGACGTTCAGTCGCGCGAAGCCGCCGTGCGTCCGCATCCTTGCCAGACGAGGGTGTTGCACTCGCGCGGTGTCCTTCTCCTCCTGGCATCGGCCAAGCGTGCGAGCCCGCTACCGTACGCAAATCCAATTTGCGCGCATGTGCGTCCTGTCACCCTGTCGACGCGCGCACGCATACCCTCCCAACGTGTGGCGCCTGCCGAATACCATCGACATCTGGAGTTTCTGTCCGCGTGTGTGCCGGTGCGGCTAGCCTGCGAACGACGGGCGGCTGGCTCGGTACATGTACGAAGCGGAAT